AGTCTCTCTGCCTCCACCAGTCTCTTCTCCCCCTGCTTTTCTGTCTGCATTTTTCGGTAAATGAGGAATTCTGTGGGCACGGGAAACATTGGAAGCCGAGTGGAAACCACGAACTTTGGGAAAAAGCTGAATCGGAGAGTCCCAATAACAAGCGTATCGAGTCGAGTTGCTGGATCAAACCAGCTCTCAATTGCCCCACAGAATTTCAGTCTTGTGAACCAACACGACCACTGCCCTGTAAGTCACTGTAGTTCGTTTTCTTTCTCTTTATCATGGAAACTCCTTGTCTGAGCGCCCAGAGCGGTCTGGGTCTGACCCTCTCAGCACCTAGCAGTGTCCTGTTAAGGATGGGACACAGGACGGGCACTGGGGTTTGTTAAATAAATGAACAAATGAGCAAAATTGAAGCAAACATTGACTAATGCCTCGAATTAGCAAAACCTAGAGCTATTCTTCTGTTACCGGGTGCTGGTGGGAACGGAGCTCCCACCCTGCTGCCTGCTGGTGCGCTGAACAAAACCCCTTACGTCCAAGTTCTGGGGTCACCACGGGGGGGACGGCCAGGGCTGTGCTGTGCGGTCCGGCAATCACTGTCCCTCTGTAGTGGACCCTCATTAGGACGGGGGCAGCCGAAACCGGTTTGGCTCGGTGGATAGAGCGTCGGCCTGCGGACTGAAAGGTCCCAGGTTCGATTCCAGTCAAGGGCATGTACCTGGGTTGCGGGCACATCCCCAGTGGGAGATGTGCAGGAGGCAGCTGATCGATGTTTCTCTCTCATCGATGTTTCTAACTCTCTATCTCTCTCCCTTCCTCTCTGTAAAAAATCAATAAAATATATTAAAAAAAATACTACCAGGAGAGATGAGTAATGAACTGTTTTCATATTCTTTATAGATACATATTACCCAAATATTTCTAAAATCAGCTTGCAACATTTAAGTACACACACACACACACACACACACACACACATGTACTTCTATTAAAAATTAGAAAATATAATTTTAAATTATCATCTTGAAATACTATCTGGAAGTATGTCAGTGTTAGGTGTTATCTCCAAATCTTTTGGTAAAACTGAAAAAAAAGATTCTTAAACTATATTTAGAATTAGGAATGTCTGGTCAGAGAGAGTTCTTTTATTCTCCTTGGCCTTTTATTTATTGCTTTACACTTTAATCGACCCAGGCTGGAGGAATTTCATCAATAACAAAGATGGGCTCTTAGGAATGCCTTGAACAGCATAGCACAGCCTCTCAACTCCTTAATGGCATTCTTTTATTAAGATATGAAATCAGGTTAAGTGCTTCAAGAGGACAGGCTAACCCACTGCCTTTAATGAAAATAAGGCAAAAATGCCCACCAACTATCAGATGTTTTTTACATACGAATTGGATCAACAGTGAAGTATAAAATTAAAGAAATTATATTTCTAAACCATTTTTAAAAAGCATACTGCACCTGAATTTATGAAAGTATGTGAGATTTTAATGGAGTATTTTTTTATTGTACTGTATAAATTAGTCTTTGATATTTATGCCTTAATTAATATGCAAATGATTTAAGAATGGGGGGTCCTCCATGAGGCTGGGGGGTTTGTTTCTCCATCAATTTGACCAGACAGTTTAGAATGGTGACTGAAATAAGTCTTATGGTTGTTTTCATTACAAAATAGAGGGACAGAAACAGGCAGCATAGACCACAATCTCTGGAGGTGAGGTGGATATCAACTCTTACGTGATGTTGGGCCAAAGGGAAATCAAATCAAGACAATTACAGGTCCACGTTCCATTTTGAAGTCTGATCCAGCTTACCATGTAAGCAAGTCAGATCAGTGTGAATCCCTCTGTTAGCACTCGGCCAAGTAGAGAAAAGCTAGGATTTTCTAATTTATGGTGAGTTAAGCCTGTCCAACAAATGAATAAAAAACCTTGGAACAGGAGAATTTATCTCCAGATGATGTTCTAAGATTGGGTCATCGCTTAATCCTGATGTAGTTCAAAGGACAAAAAGAATGTTCTACCCACATCCCATGACTTACCTTTGCCGAGTTCATGCCTGAGTCAAGATAGAAACAAAGGAGGCACAGGGACTCTATCCATTGACA